CCCCAAAACCCCAAAACCCCAAAACCCCAGGGAACATGATATTTATAGAAAACCTAATAATTTAATAAACATGGACCAACTGAGGAACACAGCCCAGGCTAAGAAGGAAAGAAAATCTGCAGTTGAGAGATCAAGAGAATTTAGAAGGAGAAAGAAGGATTATGTAAGTTATAAATCCCCAGAATACATAGTAGTATTTTGGCGTTTTGATAAGCTTACTCACATTTATTTTTAAAGCTAAAACGTTTCTTTGTTAAAATAAATTGATAATAGCTCACTCATCATTCCTTTTATTCGCCTTTGAATAGATTTCAATCTTCGCTAAAGTCCAATCTCAAGAAATTATAAAATAACCCCTGAATTGTTCAAACCCTTTCTAGTTGACTAGACTTGAATCCAAGGTGAAAATATTGGAGGAAGAAGTTTCTGGTCTCAAAAAAGAGAATTATTCTCTCAAAAATACGATTAGTGAACTTAAAATGATCCCAACAGTTGGTGAACAGTCTTGCTCTTCCTGTCATACTTCAAGGCCTGATCCAAAGAAGTATTCCCATCCTCTGTATGAGTACGAAGACTTTGTCAACAACCAGATGAAGAAGATATTGATTCAGAATCCTTCGGAGATCAGATACGCAACACTCGAACAAATGGTTTCACAAGCATCAGACTATTCGTAAGCTGCACCATGAAGCATTTCTGATTGATGTGATGTAGAGATAGTAGAAGAGACTTGTTGAAGCAGAAGTTCAACGGTAAATACTTATTGGTGATGTCTAGATATTCTTGAAAATATGCTAAGCTTTTCCTCTAAATGCTACCTGATGGGTTTCAAGAACGTCAATAGGGCTGAGTTCCTGAGAAGAAACTGTACCAAAAAGAGGAGAGAGAAATACATTGATGTAAACGGCATTCACTTATTTTTAGAAAGAACAATCTGAGAGCAAAGATATCTATTTTGACACTTTCTTGCATACTAATATAGCTAAGTTTATTGAGAAGAAAGGAGAAGGATTTAAAAAGAGCCTAACAAGTATTGCAGTCATGTAAGTTTTATTTCTTATCTCTAGTGCTAGGAAGCTAATCAGGCTCAGAAATGATCTCTTCAATGAGTATAAAGAACAGCAAAACTTTATCCAAGGTAGTCCTTAAATCATTATTTTAACATGACAAAATGTCTGTAATTTCCTTCTTAAATTTTTTATAAATTATGGTTTACAACTATAATTCCAAATAAGCTATTAAAATCCAGGTTATGATGATTACCAGAAGGAAGACATAATAAGTCATTACAAGTTCATTGATCATGTGAAGAGTAAAACTAATCTAACACCCCACTCTTTGTTCGGTATCAAAGCTAAAACTCACAGTAAAGAAAAGTACGATTCAGGAGAACTGACTGAGTAGAAATTATAGTTTTCAATATATTTTCCAGAATAAGGGGTTTTGGGGTTTTGGGGTTTTGGGGTTTTGGGG